AATTTAAATACAAGTGGTGTAACAGCTTTCTTGTATAAGGTTAATTTTCTCGGATTAAAAATATACCTATTAATAGTAAACTTCGAATTTTACACAAAATTAAATAAAAATAATTAACGAAAAGTGACATGACTTGCAAATGATGTTAATCTCCTAAATGACGTAAAAGTCCAAGAGAGATATTTAAAAGACGTATTTAAAAAATTAAAATCTTTTTTTAATCAAACGTTTAACGTTACGTCTCTACATATATAATAAGCAGAATAGTCATAATCGCAAATAAACGAAGTTACATACAAAAAAATGAAAGACAGCAGAAAATCCTCTATCTTCCAGATATCAATACGATTCGACAGCTGTGTAAACGTTCGTGTAAGGCGATCTATCGTGAAGAGAAGACGCGTGATGTATCAAGAGTGAATAACGATCGCGGTCTCTAACGAGACTCGGATAATCTCCCAATATCTTTTTTTGTCGGATTTTTTTTCGACCACTGTATCGAGCTCCGGAATCGATTCGCGCCACGCAACGCGACGCGGATGTGTCACGCACGTATACACCCGACCCGACCCAAGTGCGTGCGTGCGTGCGTGCGAGATTCTCCGGAGGGGTCTGTCACGCGTACAAATAGCTGACCTCGCTTCGTCGCCTCTATCAATGGCTTGCCGCTGGACTGAATGACTTTTACGCCTCTTCCGCTTACTACGCCCTTTCGCACGAGGCTGTTCGCGCGAGATTAAAAACCGGTATAAATTTCGATGAGCTCAGCTCTCTTGATGACGCGAACGCAAAAAATTAGAATCTTGCACAGAGAACATTTTTTTCCTTAGAATTTATCTTGAAAATCGTGATAATCGTGAGACAATATATGCGTATTGGAAGAATTTTATAAGAGTTTCTCTGATTAATATTTACCACAATAAAAATATTCATATCTACCACAATAAGATATAAAATAGGTTCGATTAATTTTATTATGTACATATTAATATTTCTTATTGTGGTAAATATTAATTAGAGAAAAGAGAAACTCTTATAAAATTTTTCCAATACCATAGTGTCCTACGATTTCCATGATTTTCAGGGTAAATTCTAAGAGAAAATTCTCTCCATGTGTATTATTGTATCATGAATAAATATAAGAATTATTTTTTTATTATATATGCGCATGCAAACCAAAATGTCAAGATTTTATAACTCGAGAGTCTATCGGTTTCAAACTTTTACAAAGGCAATAAAGAATAGACTATTTCCAAAGGAAAAATATTTTAAATGTATAAATACTTATATATTTATACATTTTTGTGATAAAAAATATTTATCTACGTTTATATAAATTGTTCATATAAATTTGATGCTGTCTTCAATTTTTTTTTTTCAAATGTGCGAAACATGACTCGTTGCATCATAAAGTTTATGTTAGGAATTTAATTAGCTTGGTAAACTTTTGTATAATAATTTTTTCTTTGCTTTGCACTGACAATGAGTTACAACATATTCTGCATATTCAAGCATGGACTGGATTATGCAAAATATGTAGTCGGTAACACAGAGAACTTGCATGAAGAATATGGATGACCATGTAGAGATCACACTACTTACAATCGGTATAACTTGAGTTCTGCTGTCGGTATAAGGTATCCTTAGATAAGTATACCGGCTGTTTCCCCTGAGATCACTTGTCGATCAATGGTAGTCATTATTATTTTCTTTAAAGAGCCGCGCCGTTCCTTTTTTTAAAGAGCCGCGACGTTCCTTTTTTTAAAGAACCGCGTAAGTTCTTGAATGAGAATTGATATTTTATAATTATTGGAAATAAATATAATTTTTTTAAATTTCTCTTCCATTGATAAAAAATAAATGTATTGTTATTTAAACAATAACATGATTAATAACATTATATATGAATTTCCCGCGTTTATTACATATATAAGTAATTAACTATCAAATATATATACCTTTTTCTTCTCTGTTTTATTATTTATTTCGTATTTCTTATATTATTATCTGTTTATCACAATATAAAATATCTATTCAACTCTTACATTTTTTTTCATTATATGCATTAATTATTATGCAATGCCATTACATGTATTCAATTTTATTTCTACAAATGAAAATTGTAACAATTATTCTTAGCAGAAGAGCAGCAAAAGTTTGAACCCACGGAAGTGGATTTATCCATCCGAATAATTTAATTTGCATATATACATATTGGCTCGAAATACGTTTAAGAATTATTCCAATAATCGTTCTGCGATGCAATCCTTTCGGTTATTCGTACAGACGATTATATCAAGCAACGTTTCGCAACGAGATAACACGCAATCTCGATAACAGCCGGGCAACTTCTCGCACGTACATTACGATCTTCGCTCGTTAAGTTTTACGATCGCTCAGGACCGTCTTGGCCGATCTGACCGCGTTAATTAGATAAAAGCGGCGGTTGGATTCTCGGAAGGATTCAGTAATCAGCGAGCGAACCGGTCGGCGGTGCCCGCTATTACGAGATATCGATACGTCGTATTTCCCTCTTTTATAACGTGCCTCCTCCGCTATTCCAGAAATATACAGAATGGAAAACAGTGAACACCGTTCAAGAAACTATATCAGATGACAGCTCGACGTTTCGTTTACAGTCTCGTAAACGTCCTGGTCCCCAAAAAGTCTGTCCAGTCGTAGATTATTCGGCAAGAAATTCGAAATTAACTTTTTTTCATTCCTCGAAAAACATTTTCGCGGACAAAGAAAAAGAAAGAGAGAGGTCATTGACTGTCTTGACGATCATTGAATTTTACATAAAATTTATCTGTTAAGATAACATCCAAATTAAAACCGATTGTAAAACAGAAGATTCGTCAATGTTGCATAATCACTAATGATTATCGAGAATGCAATGATCACGATTCTCAATCGTCATTAATTAAGGACAGCTTCTGATACGTCTCTTTAAAAGATCAAATCCTCGTGTGCTCGTTGCTCCTCTTTTCGCCGACGTTCTCTTCCATGGAATATATATGACCATCGGGTCGCGAGGTCGCGTCGTATCTTTATCAGGACTCCGTGTAACTGCCGCCGTGCCGTTATCGGCAGACCGATAAAGCACGTATAAAATAATATATATATACCGCGATGGACCCTTACGAACGTTTACTGTCCAATAGCAAAACCATGAAGAATCGTAAAATCGCGTTTCTTTATCCGCCTTCACTTTGTATCCGTTCATATGCGAGAAAGAATTAAGTCCTTAAAATAGACTAATTTTTTTTAATGGATTAAAGCCTGGCAAATTGACTAATCAACTTAATTCGCACAAATAGTCTGTATTCTATAGCATTTATACACAGAGAATTTTCTCTTAGAATTTACCCTGAAAATCATGGCAATCGTGGAATATAATACGGTATTATATAATATTATATAATTATCTACCAATAAAGTATAAAATATGTTTGATTAATTTTATTATGTACAAATTAATATTTTTATGTAGTTAAATATCAATCAGAGAAACTCTTATAAAATTCTTCCAATATTGTCTCGTCACGGTTACCATGATTTTTAGAGTAAATTTCTAAGAGAAAATTCTCTCCGTGTAAAAAAAAGATATTCTATCCCCCTCTTTTCAAGGAAGATTACAATTAAATTATTATTAATATAATTGATTTTTTACGATAGAGCCAATCAAATGAAAATTACGGTTACGAAATAATTATTATAATTAAATTGAGAAATAGCAAAAGAGTAACCTTCGTGTTAAAGAATGCGCAGGTGCCGCATTGCTGCGAACATTTAAGGAATTAACAGACACGCGATAATACGCGTTTATGTAAGAAACGTTTATTCCTCTGCGCGCGTGGATATTAAACAGCGATTTTTAAATCGCCTTATAACATTCCCCGCTGGTACGATGAAAACCTCCCAAGTAGATCTGTCGATTAAGGACCGATGGAGAGTTTAAATATCACTGATCATCGTTCCCCGCATTCCTCGAGGTCATCGTGTTCGGTCCGTGTGATGTTTGACCTGTCCAGCGACACCGCTTTCCGTGATGCGTCTCACACTCCAAGAACGTCAATTTATTCTCAAATATTACCATAATTTCATTAAAGATGTCAAAATGTCTCGGTAACAACTCGGTAATACAAAAATTTGCTATAGATAAATAATAAGTATACGGATTTTCAAGTTCCATCTTTACGTCGACGCATTTTTAATTGTTCTATTTTTCATTATTGCTACGAAAATTAATTTTAATTAATTTTCTTTTGATTTCTTTACATTTTATAATTTTTTTTATTTTTGCTTTATATATTATGTTGCGGAATTAACATTTGTTTCGTCAGACTCTTCAGAGGCGAACATTACCGTTAGCCCAATCTATCGACACATTTTCTAATGATCTCTTAAAGATATACTGACGGCGGACAAGTACTCAGTTCCTTCTCGTTCAAATCTCAGAAAGACGACAGTTTATAGAATCAAATGTTTTCGCACAGTAATCCACTTGAATCTAATTTCTGCGATTCCTCTCTTAGAAAACCTTAGCTGACTCATTATCGGAATCAATACAGTTCGATGTAACACGTGACACGCACGAGGCTGAGGAATTTATTATTTAGGAAACATTTCGTAACAAATGCATCGTTTGCCATTCTCCTTTCTCTCCTCAAAAGGTAGCTTAAGACACAAACAGACAAACGAAATAGGGTGGCGGTCACGAAGGGTGACCGATTCTCGAAATTACGATTTTCGGCAACGTCTGGCACACGTCTGCCTGTTATTTTAGGACGTTCACAGAAATTTGAGGCCCGGTAAGAACGTCTCTTTTTCCCGAGGGCATCGGCCATCCGTCGCGCCCCACTTTAAAAATCCGCAGAAGTGAAAGCTGTGAACGGCGCAAAGAAAGAAGCCCCCTTTCTGCTTTTCTTTTATTCTCTTCTCTCTCCTCTCTTATTCTTTTCTAGTTTGTCGCAACTGATGATTTTTTCTCTTTTCAGGACCGTGCGCGGGAAATGGAGCAACACGAAGAACACCTAGCACTTGCGGAAAATCTTAATTGTAGAAAATCTTCCTGTAGAAAAAAAAATCTTTTATGTAATTCCAGATTATTAAGCTTAACGTATCATTCCTAATTAATAAATCTTGGACCATATCGTCTTACGGATTGGACGATGCTATCGAGCTACGATGAAATTGGAGTCATCGCCGGGGCAATTAAGACAAAACTGGTTTTCACAATGAACTGACAGATAGATATGATTCTGAGATCATTGTGAAAGCTGATTTTGTTCAAGTATCAACGGGACCTTGATCGCGTTAAGCTCGAAGAAGAAAAATGGAAGCAACACAAATAGTAAGTTTTTTAGAAAATTAAAATACATAATAGTATATATTATATATGATTAATATTAGCTTATTATATATAATATCTATATAAAAGAACTTATTGAAATAAAAGTATGTTTGGATTTATTTTTAATTAGGACAATGTAAATAAATATATATGCAGCTAACTTATATATAAGAAAATATATAGAATGATTAATAATCTTACCAAAAATGTCGTTTTCTGCTAGAAAAAAATAAAGTTTTACCGAGATTGCATTATTGGTTTCGACACGAAATTATGAGATAATAAAAACGCCTTATAATGATAAATATACATAAACGCGCGTGGGATAAGATATATATATTTTCCCATTTTTATTTAAGATATTTTAAGATATACCCTTATACTAATAAATATATAAATAAAAATTACAAAGGATTCCACGCAGGATAAAACGTAAGTATAAATAAGACTATATGATATCAGCTGTGAAAGCAATGTTTTCCCTCAAGAGGAAAAGAACATTCTAACGAATACTCACCAATTAAACATTTAGAGCGCAAAGGAAGGAGAGAGATAGAGAGCAAAGGAAGGAGAGAGATAGAGAGCAATGTACATTTTTTTTGTCGGAATTTCCGGTAGTGATTTATCAAACGGGAAAGATCATATCTGACGGACGCGGACGGCGGCAAGAAACGACTCCTCGAAGTCACGAGAAGAAGAAAAAGAGGAGAGAGAAGAAGGAGGAGAATGCTTCGTGATGCCTCCTCGTATCCCTTATATCCATATACCCTCGTGCACGCACCACGTGTCCATGTCTGCCTACGTCATCCCATGTATTATGTCTCTATATATACGTATAGAGATATTGCGCGCATATAGATATTCTAATACAGGCCTTAATAGGCCCGCCTGGCGCTATCAAGTGTCAAACGGACCGAACGTAAGAAAAAGTCCGAAAGACGCGTATCGCGGGCTTCTCTTTTTGACGAAAAGCAGCCGGACGCGGCAGGAAACTTCATACAGTGTCCATATAATAACACCGGCATCTCGCGACTCTTTCGAACCCGTACGGGGATACACTATCGGGCACTTTGGAAACCCTTGCCTCGCGTCAGGCGCATGACAGCTCGAAGGAACGACGGAGTGTCCTCGAGCCTGAAGAACCCGCCCGTCTTTCTCGGTTCCTTACGCGCTAAAAGATCCTCGAGCCGGACAAATTCGGCTTCTCCGAACGTTGGGCGCATCCTTCGCATTCCTCGAGCACGCTCTCCTCTTCTGCGGATCTCTCTTACAATAGTGGGTAACTTTTCAGTCGATCCGTTATGATGAACGCATATTGGAGATAATGCAAGCATTAAACTTTCTCTCTTTCTTTTTCACCGCTAAAGGACAAGATAATATGCTGTAATTCAATATTTTTATCTTCCATGTGTTTTATTATATATATATATATTATTTTTTAAATACACGAAATATATATATATATGAAAATTGGAATCATCGGCGATATAGATTCGTCACGTTTTCCCGGTAAAAGCTGCGTGCGGCGGCGGCTCGTAAAAATCACCTGGCAAATTGGAGAGGCCGAGGTGATATACGATGTGCCGCTCGTGTTTCGCCGTCGGTGACGGTGAACTTAGCTGGTACCGGTCTCGGAGAAGCAACGCTATTGCGGGGGTCGTTGGTGGCCGCGAAATGTCGGTCGCGCGTTAATAACCCGCTCCGGTTCGGGTGGACCGGATGAAATTTATGGTCCCACCAACGTTTTGACAAGCGCGCGAGGAAATTTATCGGCGTGTAGCGAGGAAGGAGGAAGGAAAGAGGAGGACGTGGTGCAAGGTGGTGGCACTTTTTCGTTGGCCAACCCCGGGCGACCATGTTTTCAGCTATTAGACGAAACAAGGCCTCGCTGTTTTACGATCGCTCGCGACCCGGAGCGTGCCACCGTCGTAAACGTGAAAGCTCGGGGAACGTTCTCTGATCTGACGCAATCGAGAAACCTTAGATTTTGTGGTCCGGAGAAAGAAAGAACGATCGAAATGCGTAAAAACGCTCCAATACTCCAATTTAGAGGTATTGTTATTTTTAATTTATAGCGAGAGGAAGTCCTAAAATAATAAAACGAGCAATGAAAAATGTGCAACAAAAGATGATCAAACTCTATTATTTAAATATTACCCCTTTCTCCATTATCACTAAAGAATTTTATCACAATAATATATCGCCACAGTAAAATTACTCGAACCTATTTTATATCTTATTGTAGTAGATCTCAATTTTTATTGTGATAAATATTAATCAGAGAAACTCATAAAAATTCTTCCAATACCATATTGTCTCATGATTACCATGATTTTTCGGGTAAATTTTAAGAATAAATTCTCTCTGTGTATCTATGATTGCTAATTGATTATTATTATTCAAATTACGGTCGAAACGAATGAGCTTTTCGGAAAGGGTATTAAAAAGGACATTAAAATGCTGATACAGTAAAATTGAATAATTAGCTGGCGCCGGGGTCACTTTCCCAAAAAACCGCGCTCGAATTTCCGTCTTATCGGTCCAGAATTATATCATCGTGGCAAAAGCGAGACGACTTTTACGAGCCGTCGTCGTTGTCGTCGTTGACGACGTCATCGTCGTTGCGAAGAGAGTTTTAAATGGCATCGTAAAAATGTTCTGGCAAGATTTTCTCGAAAACTCGTAAATTCTTGTTTCGTGCGAGAGCAACCACTTGTGCGCCTTGCTCGCTCGCGTGATTATCGCGGCCGAGAAATGTCACTTTGACAACCCGAACACGCGCATACAAGTGCAAAGGAATGCTAAAAAAAATGGTGCTTTTCCCACACCAATTGGATGGCCTCTTCTTTCCTTTTTCGTCTCGTGGGAAAAAAATCGATACATCTTGTATCGATAAAAATAAAATTAATTAAAACATATGCGATTGCAGAAACATTTGATCTCGCTATTTTCTCGTAAATCACTCGACGCGGAGGAGGACCGCGAAAGGAGGAGTTAATGAATCGCATCGCGTTCTCCGTCGCGCGTAATCGATAACCGCGCTCATTCTCACACTGGAAGCTGCAGGAGAGAGAGGCGCTTTTTGCTGGTCGCGGCTGCAAGTCCGCCATCGCTGACCAGCGATGCACGTGCATAATTTACCACGGCACACGCACGCGTACGCGCGTCTGTCTTCTCTTCTCCTTCTCCGTCCGAGCTCGCGGATGTGCGCACCATCGCACATGCGATTCGCTCAAGTTGGCGGACAGCAGCGAGGTCCAGCCGACTCTCTCTCTCTCATCCTCTCTCCTTCTGCCTATCTTTCTTTCCCGGCCGTCATCATCTCGGGGATCCGAGCTTTTATCGGTTCCGAATCGCCGCTAGCCGCTCGGCCACATGTGTGCCGAGCAAAAAGTCCCGCCTTGAGGCTACGCTCTCGCCTTCGTCCTCCCTTATGCGTGCGTGCCCTCCGGAGCTTTGAGGATCGCGACCGAGGCGGGTGGCCGAGGCGGGTAATAAATTTATGACGGCTCGCGCTCGGCGGAATTTGCGAACGAACGCGGAAGCTTCGTTTTCCGACGTGGCTGCGGATTTTATTTGAAACCCATAAATGTACATGAGGGGATGTTAATAAACTTGATGAGAAAATATTGATTTTATAATCATAGAACATTTCACGCAATAAGATTGTAAGCTTTAGAGATTGTGATTTTTCAAAAAGATTACTTAGGTTTATCGCAAAATAGGCACCGTGTAAATATTTAAATAAATAAATGGATCTGGGCTTGTGTATCCAGCTGTGTCGTGTCCGGCAACGTTGCGTCTTGGCATCGTGCTCTTGCAACTTGACCCCGAAAGACCTCTCTATCAAGCTCACAGACAATACACGATGATGATAATTTCCCTTTTTTCCGCCAAGAGAGAGAAAGAGTGAAAAAACAGGAAAACTCGCGCATAGGACAACGATATTTTTATCGTTTGCCTTTGATGAGGCCGCGCATTTAACGACTCGATATATCGATTCTTATCCGTATCTCGTCTCTGACTCTTTAACCAATTATGTCTCGATTGCGTAATTGTGCTGATTCGTCACGATTAGATCCCAAAAAGCACTCTTAGAATGCATATAAATTTTTTCCACTCCAATTCTTATCAAATCGGTCCTCTTATCGCAGTGGAATAACGTGCGAGGCCCACAAAGAGGTCAATCACCGGCGATTCGTCATTAATACTGCATTTATTTTGCTCATTATAGTTTGCATTGGCATTTTAATTACGAACGTTATTTGTTTAATATGAAGGTCGTAAGATAAAATTGGATCTGGATGGGCGAATCTTTTTAGTTTACTTTGTAGCAACAATCGCAATCTTTTGACAACAATAAAATATATATTTAACGCGTTTAAATGTTTACGTAAAAGTACAGTGAAAACTGAATGAAAAGTGCAGCATCTTTCAAAAAATTCAATGCAGAAAATATTTTATATCTTATTCATATTTTCTTATATATTGATTAATTCTTTCTATCTCGTTTCGATTTTTGAAAATAAAAATTGATGATTATGGTCACTCACAATCAGTAAGATACTATATCTGCAATTCATTGTAAAATTCGATTTAGAATCGTTTTGATCGACTCCTGTAAACCACAACACAGGATTCAACTCTTTATGATCTACCTTAAAAGTCAACTGAAAAATCATGCTAACAATTTTTCCATTAATTGAGTTCTTACCTCCGAAAGTAATGGGTCCTTTTTGCCGTCCTATAAAAATACAAAATTTAGATGGCATAAAACCGAACAGGTTTCGTTCGTTGGCTTTGACGATGGAAAGGCATGCGCGCGTCACATCGCCGATAACGTGATCGCGCAACAACAATACTGAGTTATAAATTATAATAATAGCCGAGGACATTGTAATCGGAGCCGCAATTAGTCTCAGTCGCCACTGGGTGACCTGAGTGGGGAGGGAGTTTATTGTGTTCGACCATTATCGCGACAATTTTTCATCGCGACTTCCGATAGGAAATCTTTCCT